TGAAATAGAAGCAATCCTAAATGGTCTTCGATACTGTCTGGCAAAAGGCATATCTTGAGTGGTCATTCAGTCTGACAATCAAGTGGTCGTCCAACTACTACAACAAAACAAGAGCTTTCCATGGAAACATCATCATAAGCTCAAGGAGATCCACGTTATGATCATTCTCTCGAACTCTAAAATTTTGCATATCTTCAGAGAAGTTAATAGCATGGCGGATGAACTTGCAAAGACGGCATCACATGGGTCAAGCCTTCAATATGATAATAGAGATCAATTACCGCCTCTTTGTGGGGCAAATGGTATCTTGATAAGTATTCTTTTCCGTGCATTAGGATTAGATAGGAATCTATCTACTCTATAGCATAGGTGGAGATGTCTGGGGATTTATGTCGAATCTTTGTAAGACATCCTCCTAGGATTGTTAGCATAAAACTTAAGAAATTGTCGGGGATATTGCATTATCTTTGTAAGACAATTCATAGTTGTAATTGCATAGGAGACGTCATGGATTTTTTTAGAAAAACTTTTGTAAGGCGGACTCCTTTTCCGTTTGGGTAAGTCTTAAGTACTGCCTTGTGTAATTTTTTACTTACATTAATAAAATCGGGGTCCTCCTGCCAAGTACCGCCCTGGATTTCCCAAAAAAAAATGGAGGGAAATTGAGCTATTCACCAATTCCTTTCAGCAAATGCTTGGGAGGAGCTCAATCATTTGGGTTGTTGGTATACTTGGACCAAGAAAAGACAAGGTTCGGATGCTATCTTTGAAAGGTTAGACAGAGCTTTCGTTAACAAGATTTGGGTTACAACCTTTAGGAATGCAATCATTAGAAACCTTCCCATCATGACATTGGATCATGGTCCTATATTGGTGGATATTAAACAGAAACATAGACCAAAAAGAAAACTAAAATTTGAACAATTTTGGTCTAGTTGTCCTACCTCTAAACCCTTGGTCACACAAGCTTGGTCACCACATTCTCTTCATATACCTGATCCACAGGAGAACTTTTCCATTAAACTTCATAAACCCCTCTCTCAGCTTCATCAATGGAGCAAAACCAAATTTGGCCATCTAGACTCTTTAGTCAATAAGTTAACAGAAAAGCTAACCCAAGCACAGGTTCACTGGGAGACTGACAAGACTAATGTACAGTTGATTAGTGCTTTGGAAACTCAGCGTGTAGAGTTAGAAGAAGCTTTATTACTTCAACAACAATAACGGCACCAGCGGGCTAAGATTAATTGGTCACAGTTGGGGGACAAGAACACCAAGTTCTTTCACAATTGGGCTGCAAGGAGGAAAAGTAACAAATGGATCAATGAATTGTGTGATGATCAAGGAGTTTGGTTTCAAGACTCTGCACAAATTGCTTCCCTTCTTCAAACGCATTTCTCTACCATATATATGTCACAACAATCAGCCTCTCAGGAGACTTTGGATTCTTCCTTCTTTACCTCTCTCTTAAGTAATGTGGATGAGACTCTTACCTCAGATCAGATTCATCTTTTGGATGCTCCATTTACACATGAGGAAGTATAGAAGGCAGTTCACCAGATGTCACCTTGGAAATCCCCTGGCCCTGATGGTATGCCAGCTGGTTTCTATCAGCATTATAAAGAGATCATTGGCCTGGAAGTGTAGACTTCTATCTTAGCAGCTTTCAACAATGACTTTTCCCCACGAATGGAATCAGACAAATCTGACATTGATCCCTAAAACTGCTTCTCTGTCGACACCGAATGATTTTCGCCCCATTAGTCTATGCAATATCAAGTATAAAATCATTACCAAAATGATTACTAATTGCTTGAAACAGGTAATGAATTCCCTCATTGATGATCATCAGAATACTTTCGTCCCAGGTAGGAACATTAGCGAGAATATCCTTATAGCTCATAAATTTCTTGAAACAACCCGCCACAAAAAAGGAGATTTGGGATTAGCCGCTATCAAACTTGACATGAGCAAATCATATGATCGTGTTGCTTGGCCTTTTCTTCAAGTTGTCCTCAAAAGAGTTGGCATTCCTTCTCGACTGCTCACTCTGATCATGCACTGTGTCACTTCTGTGTATTACTCCATCCTCTTCAATGGTGAAAGTCTCCCACCTTTTATCCCGAATAAAGGTTTGAGGCAAGGTTGTCCTTTATCACCTTATCTTTTTATTCTTTGTCAGCAAGTTCTTTCCTCGGCTATTCAAGCAGAAATTCATACGTTTCCTGGTTTGGGAGTTAAAGTCAGCCATCATGCTCCGAGACTAAGTCATCTCATGTATGCTGATGATAGTCTTTTCTTTATTGAGTGTACCCCTACGGCAATTCAAGCTCTTGCTGGTCTATTGGTGAATTATACAAATTTCTTAGGTTAGAAGATAAAGCTACAGAAATCTTCAATCCTAACAAGTGATAATACTACTCCAGCAATGCAGAACCTGATTCACACTACACTCAATATACCAAGCGGTTCCTTTCACAATAAGTACCTTGGTATGTCCTTGGATTTCTCTCAAAATAAGACGACAATCTTCCAAGAATTTACAACCAGAATCAGCAATAAATTTGCATCTTGGAAAACCAGGCTACTCTCACTCTCGGGTCGTGTTACTCTTGCTAAATCTACGCTTTCCTCCATGTTGGTCTATCCTATGGGTGTCTTTAGACTTCCACAATACACTGGACAAAGCTGACAAGATCATTGCAAATTTTATCTGGAAGGGGGATAATCAAGAGCAGAAGATTCACTAGTGTGCATGTAAGAAAATTACCAAGTCACAATTCCATGGTGGCCTGGGTTTAAAGGCGACTAAGGAATTTAACCAAGCATTGCTAGCAAAACATGCCTGGAAGATGATGATGGAACCGCAATCGCTTCTGGCCAGACTCTTTAATGTACTGTCCGGGTGATACTTTCCCTCCTTTAGACATACCAAAGAAACTCTCTTGGGAATTCAAAAGCATTTTATGGGGCGCGGAGCTATTGCAAGGGAATTCAAAATGGAAAATTATTTCTAGAAAGGATACTCTTCTCTCTTCTAACTGGATTCCAGGAACTTCCAATCCGATTAGTACTTAATCTGTTTTGACAACAGCAAGACTCCTAGTCAATCGCTTCATCACTCCTACCGGCCAATGGAGACTTCAGCTTTACGAAATTTCTTCCCGGATCATATTATTTCTATCATTAATAGTATTTTTATTGATCCGGCAAGACATGACCAACAGGATCGTTTGGAATGGATCCACTGATCATGGCCAATATACTGTCAAAACCGGTTATCAAGTAGCAATCAATTCTACAATCCGCAACTTGTCCTTGACCCAGCTATATTGCAGGCGGAAAAGATGGCATGGAAAAAGATGTGGCATTCTACAACCAAAACAGAAGTTCCTTTTTTGGAGGACTTTGCTGAATGCTCTAGCTACTCATACAGAGCTTAGCAAAAGGGGAGTTCCAGTTAACGCAATTTGCCCGTGGTGTTTTCGTGAGGAAGAGAACATTAAACATTTGTTCCTTAAGTGTGAGATGTCGCAAGCAATCTGGGCCCTTGCATTCCCCAAATTCAGCTCCATTTTAAATTCTTCATACCAATCTCTGTTCCAATGGTTTATTGCTTGGTGTAGAACACAGCCATCAAAGCCGGATGCTGACTTACTGCTTCTAATCATGTGGCGCATTTGGTTGGATCGAAATGATAAAGTTTGGAGGAATCATGTTCAAGATCCGGCGACATCTTGTTACTTAATCCAGTTGGAGGTTCGGTCCCTTCTCCATATTCAAAACAGGCTTGCTCTCTCACCTCCAAATGGCTCACCACATAACAATCAGGGGCAACAAACTCGGATGCCCAATACTGCATTGGTCATCTTTGATGGTTCCTTTAGTCACCAAACTCGCCAAGCGGCTGAGGCATGGAAAATCATCTCTCCACATGGTATGGTGATGCAAGTTTCAACTCAGAGCATTAATGCTCTTACACTGCTGCAAATCGAAGCTATTACATGTTTATTAGCTTTGCAGGAAGTGGCAAATCTTGGTCTTATTCGGATTCAGGTATTTACATGTTGTGAAGTTCTATCACGGGATTTGCAATCTCCTTCGATGCCATCAGATTCACGAGAAGTCCTTTCCCTTTTAAATACTTTAATTTCATCATTTACTTTTTGTGCACTGACTAAAGTGAGTAGATAGAATGTGGTAGAAATGCATACTTTAGCTTATAATCATATGCGATGTAATAGCTTAGTACCTTTATCATAATAAAGCAGGTACTTTCTAAAAAAAACAATTGTGGAAGAGAATTATCCGCTCAATGCTCGACATCAATATTAAGCTATTCTTTAACAAAAGTTACAGAACCATAATAACGATAAATAAGGGAAACATGAGAAGAAGTATTTGACCACATAGGGACATTATGGGATAATAATCAAAATTTGATGTGGAGTCTAAATTTTGCTCCAATATTAATACTTAATTATACTTATTGCAAATTTGTTAAGAAATCTAGTATTTGAATTAGAATTCATTAATGGTATCCTTAAACGCACCTCGAGATCACATTTGGTAATAAAGTAATTAAAATTCATTTATTAATTTATTAATAAAAATGAAAAAAGGTCAAAATTTCCACAACAACATTGTTAATTGTATCCAAACAAGAGAAAATAATTTATGATTTTTTTCCCCATCAAATTATTTGCATTTTATAATAAGACCTTCACAATTTGTAATTTTAATAATATTCTATTTTCTATATACACGTGTTTTCCAAAAAATTTTATTAAATTTTTATATTACTACTAGTAATTACAATAGGAAGACACTATATTAATCGGAAGTCCACTTGGCCAAACAAATATATTGATTACTATTGAATTACTACTCTTTTAAGTCTTTCCGTTCAAAAAAAAAAAAGGTCATTCTGGTGAAATAATTTTCATTACACTGAAATTATCTTTTTTAACGGGACAAAAAAAGCGAAAAATAATATAGGCAAAAAAAAAAATAGTTTAACTGGTTGATTATGATGCGCTTTCAGCCGGGGGGGTGGGTGGGGACTAATAAAAAGAAAAGATCAAATTGTAAGAAGTAGGAATTTATTTATTGATAATTTATTCTTTTCGCCGTACATAAGTAATAAGTTCTCTCACTCTATATCCAGATATGAATTTCATATCAAAATGCTTATAGTAGTAGTAGATATAAGTGTTGCATTCTACTGAGCCTTAGCAGCAGCAGCAGGGTGAGTTTCCAATCCAAAACCAAATGGAAATAATGGATCATAATGAGCATCTCCTACATTCATTGGTAGCTGGTCTACCCTCTTGAACCAAGTTCTTGGAAGTTTTCCAGTGAAAGGGAAATCTCCAAACAGCACATCTGCCACACCTTTTCCTTCAGATCCCGGAAGCCATGCTGCGACAAGTGCATCCATGTCCGAAAGGTAAGGCTCGATCACGAGGGGTCTTCCGGAGATCAACACGACGACGCACTTGATGTTCTTGCAGACTGTTTGAACTGTATCTAGTCCAGGTTGAGGTATTGTTAAGTTCAAGTTGTCCCCTTGGGTCTCAGAATAAGGAACCTCTCCAACCACCACAACCGCGTAGTCGAATTTCGTGTCCTTCAAGAATTTGTCACTTGGGTTGTTCCTGTAGATCACCTTTGTTCCGGGATCAACTGTTGATTTGATCCCGTCGAAGATTGTGGTTCCTGAGAAGCGAATTCCGCGACAAAAATAAAGAAATTAGGTTTATTTATCTCTGGTAGAGTTTCTGGCGTTATATATCGAAAAAAGAAAATGTAGATTTTTTATATCTATAAGCCAGCTTAATTACCAGTGGTGTAGTTGTTTCCTGGTGTTCCATGCCATGTGATGGTCCAACCTCCACATTGTAAACCAATGTTGTTGGCATGAGATCCAGCAACCAAAACTTTGCCTGATTTTTTAGGTAGAGGAAGTAAAGGACTATTTGAGTTCTTTCCATTCTTCAAGAGGACTAATGATTTCCTCACAGCTTCCCTAGCCAACTCCCTATGATCCTGCATAAACATGTTACAAACCCATAATTAAACTTACTGATCAACATACTCCCCCATCTTCCAGGGGCGAAAGAAAAAAAATGAAAGAGTCGTGTTTGTTGAACTAAAAATTCATTCAATAAACTAACTAACCTTGCTTCCGATTTGATCTGCTAGACTGAGGTCAGCATAAGGATTCTCGAAAAGCCCTGCTACAAATTTAACTCTCAAAATCCGAGCAACTGCATCATCAATTCTGCTCATGGAGACGTAATTCTTTTGTACTAGTTGGGTTAGGATGCCAATGAATTCATTGTAGTTGTAGGGAACCATTATCTGCACCATTGACAATTGAAAAAATCACTCAAATCAGTTATAACTTATAATCACAGAGTCAGGAAATTTCAGTAGTTATTATGATTTTCTTGTTATCTCTAACCATGTCAAGTCCTGCATTGATAGAGGCTTCAACAGAGTAGGTGTAGTTTGAGTGTTCTGGGTACGTGATTCTGTCAATCCCTTGCCAATCAGAGATAACAAATCCCTGAAAAAAAAAATCAAATAAGGGAACCAAGAAATTTTTAAAATTTAAACAGATAAAAAATGCACATTAAGTTCCTACTCTTAAGATAGAAAAGCTATACTGAGTTTTTTACCTTGAATTTTAGAACACCCTTGAGGTGGGTGGTCACAAGATCATAGTTAGCATGCATTTTCTTGCCATTCCAGCTGGAGTAAGAAATCATAACCGTTCCAACACCCTTCCTGATTGTGTCGGGATACGCGGGCATGTGAATGTCGAGGAGTCCCTTCCAATCAATGAGTGTGTTGTTCTCATTGATTCCTTTAACTGTGCCTCCATCACCAACATAGTGCTTTGCACAAGCAACCACCTTAGTCCTAATAAAGGAACCACAAAAGTTGAGACAACATTTCGCCCTGTTAACGCTTACATTTTTTGGAAATCGATCATGCTCGGATTAAATTAGGAGGACTTACTTTCCACCAAGGTAAGGATAATCTTCAGGATATCCACTCGGAGCATCACCTTGTAAACCGGTCACCAGTTCTGTCATCTGTTGCACAACTGTGTGATCCTCACTGTAGCTTTCATAGCATCTTCCCCATCTTGGATCTCTGCAAACCTTTTTTTTTTTTCCGGAAAACACAAATAAGGAATTATATTTCTGTTCCAAAAGCTCTAGTGCATAAATAACATCATGTTAATGATGACAGAAATACAATGTAATACCGCGATACAAGGAGCGAAAGCGTATGGAATGCCTGTTGCTCTAACTTCAAGGGCAGTAGCAGCACCAATCCTCTTGACTAGGTCAGGATCCCTAAAAATACAAGTAATAAAAAGTATATGAGAGAAAAAAATTTTACTGAAACAATGAGTTGAAAGATCATTAATTAATCTATCATCATTACCTTGAAGCCCCAAGGCCTACATTGTGAGGGAAAATTGTGGCTTTGTACACATTATTGTGACCATGAACAGCATCAATGCCATAGATGATTGGAATGCCTAGACGAGTCGACATAGCTCCCTTTTGGAACTCATTTATCATATCAACCCAATCTTTGGCAGTTGCATTTGTTTTCGGCACGCTTCCTCCACCGCTGAGCAAGCTGCCAATGAAGTTGTTCTTGATGATTTCAGCAGTCATGTTCTCCCTCTCAAGTTGTGTCATCTGTCCGATTTTCTCAGCCAACGTCATCTTCTGCAGAAGATCTTGCACTCTGGCTTCCACAGGCTGGTTTGGATCTTTGTATACTTCCCCTGCCGCGCCTACTGGAGATGTGTGCACAAAAAGCAGCAGAATCCCCACTAGGATCGACATGGTTGGAGCCAAAAACCGCGACGCCATTGCTGAGATTGGTTTTTTGGTACGAACTATTTACTGCAGTTGTAACATTGTAAACGTAAGTTCAGATCATGAAAATGTTCATATTAGACCCAAAACAGAGAAGCTTATGGTGCAAAAATCAGAAGAATGTAAACTTTTTTCCTGTTATAAACATTCTGAATTTTGACTTGTGGTTACAAAAAATTTCTCACCCTTACCAACCCGCCAAATTCTCTTACCAAACATTCTCATTCGTCACAAACACTAGAAAATGCTAGCTAATCTCAAATATACCCAATCTTCTAGGAGGAAAACTAAACTAATTTCTCAAATATGTTGTCATTATTGATATGGACATTCCAAAAAGCTTCAATATGAAATGGCATAATTTGTATTTTTATTTTTTTGGTTGATCTAAAATAACATAAGTATTTCCTTAGAAAGAAAATTAAAGTACCTTAAGATATGTCCCAAAAAGTACCTTAAGATATGTCCCAAAAAGAAAAATTGGGACTGGGAAGGGAGATTAAAAAAAAAAAAAAAGGAAATTACAAGAGGAAAAAACTCTATACAAGAGATTGCTTTACGAATAATGTAGCTTCAAAGGGGTCTTTATATAGGGCATTAAGGGAAGGGATCAGATAAGATGATGTTGTAATTCCGTTTTTCTTTCTCATCCATTGACTAAAAAGCTACTCGTCTCAATTCAAGGAAGCCGTGAATTGGGGTCATCTACATGTTTTCTTACAATTTTCAGCCATACAACTTCAAAATACTAGCATTTTCGTTTTTTTGTTTTTTTTTTTCTACAAAATCTAAACTACACATTTATGGTAAAAGGAGAGCTTGAACCATATATTCAGATTGACCATTCTAAGAAAGGGAAACTTTCAAATTGGGAGTTTTTTCTATTTGTAGCAATGATAAGATCCTCTGTTTTAAAATAATTGTCTTTTTATTTTTATTTTAAGACGAACAGAATATACAAAAATATATAGTACTTCATAAAATTCACATGTACACTACGGCGAAAAGTCCGTATGAATCTAACCAACAACATGATTATTCTAAAAACTGAATTTCCAGTTTTTGGAGAATTTCAATCTCCTCATGAACTTTACCCGCGAGGGAATTTCCATGAAAATTCAAACATGTAAATTTTTGGAGCTCTAGAATATTGTGTTGAATTCATATTCAAATGTCATACAATTTCTGTCACAAATTGTTGTCATGTTTGTGATAGTTCATCGATTCAATTTTGAAAAGTTTGGCTACGACTCTGGTTCAAAATCTTGATCATGTTATTTCAATTATGGCCCAAGTGACATTGAAGTCAAGCTCCAACCTAAACTGCACTTGATTCATTTTACATTTTTTTTTCAATTTAATTTTATCTCCCAAATTAAGTTCCCAAGATGAATTAAAAATGCTAATACATCCTCACCTTTTTTGAGAAATAAAAATAAATTCATTAATTTGTTAGAAATCGTATAGCAGCGATTGATAAAAGCAAGATACAACTATAAAAACACAACTTATAAACAGTCACAATGTCATTGTTGTGTTTCGCTACATGGATAAATCTATCCTGATCTACCCCATGAAACAATGGTTGTACCACGTGCCAGATTTTTAATCCGGTCAAAGATACAACACTAACCTTCAGTTGAAACTTTCAAATTGTAAACCTAATAATAATTAGATCTACTATGACTGAATCTTCTTGGACCATGCCTGCCAAACCGACGAACACCTTCAATGACGCCGTATCTGCATACATCACCGACGAAACTGCCGCCATACTAGCAAACATCAACAGGGATGCTGCCGCCACACCTGTAAATATCGATAAAGATGTTGCCACCATATTGTAGATAATAATATACAACCCGTTTATTGAAATTAAATTAAAACACAATAAAAAAGTTGAAGGATATTTGTAAAATTATTTCTCCGATATTTCCATGGTGGAAAGATGGGGGAAGATTGATTTTTTTTTTTTAGGGTTTGAGGGAGAGGCGGAGAGAGAGGGAGGCGGCAGAGAGATTAATACATTCTCACCTTATTAAAAAAATATGTGATCAAAATTTCATATCTCTCTAAATAATGTTTAGGCTGATGATTTAGATTTAGTGTGAGTGAATTTTAGAAAACACTCTCTATCATCACCAAACTCCCTTCATGATTTTGTGCTCTTTCGAATCCAATCTCAATGTCGAAAATTGCTATGATGTGAAGAAAGAAAAAATCAACATCATTACATGCCTAATTTTAATATGTTTTTGAAGATGTGTAAAACCCGTAGGTCATTCTGTATTGATTTAACATATATATAGTGTACATGATTACAGTAAGATTACAATAATACCCCTACACTAACCCTAATATATACATACACTAACATCCCCCCGCAATCTGAACGGGAAGTAATCGAACATTCAGATTGGTGCAAAAATCTGTAAATAAAACATGAGGTAAGTCTTTCGTCATGATATCAGCAAATTGACGAGAAGAGGGGACATGAAGAACACGGATATCACCCTGGGCCACCTTCTCGCGGACGAAATGAATGTCAATCTCGACATGCTTCGTGCGGAGATTCTGAACAGGGTTAATGGACATGAAAATAGCACTAACATTATCACAGAAAATAACCGTGGCGGTGCACAGAGAAAGAGACAACTCTGAGAGTAAGGAATGCAACCAGCAAAGCTCAGCAACTGCATTGGCAACAGCCCGATACTCAGCCTCAGCACTCGAATGAGAAACAATAGTTTGCCGTTTAGAGGACCAGGAAACATAATTAGCACCCAAAAAGACACAGTAGCCAGATGTGGAGCGTCGAGTATCAAAACAACCAGCCCAATCTGCGTCAGAATAAGCCACAAGCTAATCAAGCAAAGTAGGCTGAAGAGTGAGGCCATAGTGAAGAGTACCCTTCAAGTAGCGAAGAATACGCTTGACGGCCTTATAATGAGGTTCACGAGGCTCGTGCATGAAAAGACAAACTTGATGCACCGCATAAGTAATGTCAGGACGAGTAAAAGTGATATATTGAAGAGCTCCAACAATGTTGCGGTACTCATAAGGATCGGGAAACAAATCACCATCAGTCTGAGACAACTTACTCTTACTATCAATAGGTGTATGGGACAAGTTCGCCGAAGAAAGCTGACAGCGATCTAATAAATTGGCTATATACTAGGATTGGGACAAAATAGACCATCAGAAGTACGAATAGCAGAGATACCAAGAAAGTAGTGTAGATCACCTAAGTCAGTCATAGCGAATTTCTTCCGTAAAGTAGCAATAATGGATGCTAACAAGGGAGAAGAAGAGGCAATAAGAATAATATCATCAACATATAACAAAAGAATAGCCATATCTGCACCACGGTGATAAATAAACATAGATGAGTCGGACTTGGAAGAACAGAAACCGTGAGAAGCAATATAGGAAGCAAACAGGTGAAACCACGGGACTGTAAGTATCACCAACATCAATACCAGGACGCTGAGAAAATCCTTGAGCAACAAGACGAGCTTTGTAGCGATCCAAGGAACCATCAGACTTTTCTTTAACCCGAAACACCCATTTCGAGCCAACCACATTAACATCAGGAGGTTTAGGAACAAGAGTCCAAGTATTGTTGTGAGACAAGGCAGCAATCTCATCATTCATTGCTTGCTGCCATTCATCAAACTTACAAGCCTCGCGATATGTGGTGGAAACCTGCAAAGGAGAGTCAGCAATAGTACTAGCTAAATTGAAAATCACCTTGGGTTTACGAGTGCCATCCTAGCCCGAGTAAACATAGGATGATGAGAAGGAACATGAGATGAACCTAAGAGAGGGGAAGGAGTTGGAGAAGACAGAGGAGGCTCCGAGCGAGGAGACAAGACTGAAGAGGGAGGTGTCGAAAGAGAGGAAGGAGTTACTAAAGGTGGGACAGGCAAAGAGATTGAGGAAAAAGTAGGTGGAGAAAGAGCAGGCGGAATGTGTGACGAAGGTGAATGAAAAGAAGAGTTAGAGGAGGAACTAGACGAAGAAAGGGAAGTGAAAGGGAAGACGTTCTCGTCGAAAACAACATGACGAGAAATAATGACCTTATTAGTAGTAAGATCAAGACAACGATAGCCTTTGTGGTTGGAAGGATAACCCAGAAAAACACACAAAGTAGAACGGGGGGCTAACTTATGATGGGTGGTGTGAGAAAGATTAGGGTAGCATGTACACCCAAAAGTGCGCAAGTGATCATATGATGGAAGTTTGTGGTGAAGAACCTCATAAGGAGTTTTATTCTGTAAGATGGAAATGGGAAGACGATTGAGAAGATAGGTGACAGTATGAAGAGCTTCAACCCAGAAAAGAGGAGGCATAGAAGCCTGAAATAAAAGAGTTCGAACCATATTGACAATTGTACGATTAAGACGCTCAGCTTTACCATTTTGCTGAGAACAAGCAGTTGTAGACAAGCGGAGGTGAATGCCATTAGTTTGAAAGAACTGCAAAAAAGAATTATTTTCATATTCACCTCCTTGATCACATTGAAAATTACGAATGACGTCATTATATTGAGTTTGGACATGAGCATAAAGGTTACGAAAACAAGAGAAAACATCATATTTGGAGCGAAGAGGAAACACCTAAGAGTAATGTGTATAATCATCCAAGAAAGTAACAAAATATTTAAATCCAGTAGGAGAGACAACTGGAGAAAACCAAACATCAGAATGAAGAAGCACAAAAGGCGCAGTAGCCCGAGACAAAGACGACTCAAAGGGTAAACATACATGTTTCCCTAATTGACAAGCATGACACAAATCTAAAGTAGAACTAGGACAAGAAATAAGAGAAGCATTTATTAAGTTGGCCAAAACACGCTGGCCAGGGTGACCTAATCGACGATGCCAGATTTGGGAAGTGGACCGATGTGCAGCTAAGGCAGGAACCGAAGAGGAGGTAGGGCAATCAACAAAAGGATAGAGAGGTCCAGAACTATTGCACCGAAGAAGTTGCGTCTTCGTTGTGAGATCCTTAACAGAAAAACCAAAGGGGTCAAATTCTACAGAACAATGATTATCAGTAGTGAAACGGCGAACAGAAATTAAGTTCGCAGTAAGAGATGGAACATAAAGAACATTATTAAGAGCTAAAGAACGACTAGAAGTGAATATATTGGAAGTACCAAGGGATTCAATAGGAAGCAAAGCACCATTGCCAACACACACTTTATCAGGACCATAATACGTTAATAAATTGGTAAGCTTACTAGAGTCATTCGTCATAGTGGCGCCTTCAACGGAGTCAAAGTGCTATGGAGTAGCAGATTGAGAGGAAGCCGGATATGCAGTAAACGGCGGAGTAGAGTGGCTTGCGTTCATAACAACAGAAGGGCATAACCGGGCAACATGGCTATAACCTCGGCAGTTGTAGCATTGGACAGAATGCTGGAATTGAGGAAGTGCAGGCGCGGGATTCCCATAAGGGGGAGACGCACCAAGAATCGAAGAAGCAGGAGGATTCGGACGAAATCCCGATTGCTGCCATCCTGCACGACCACCTCCACGACGACCTCCTCCACGATGACCACCTCCACGTCGGCCTCCAGATGACGAAGAAGACTGAAAAGGAGCTGCATCATATGCAGCATGAGAAGGAATAGACGCAACATTCGGCGAAGAAACCGGCTCAGCAACAAGGACTTGAGAAGAAGCCATACCCAACGTGGCTCTCTGATGTTGTTTCGCCAATTTGGATTCTTCAAGCAGAAGCCGCGAACGACACTCATCAAAAGTCGGAAGTGGCTTTTGAGCGCAAATCTGAGAAGTGGCTGCATTATATTCAGGACCCAATCCCATAACAACTTGCATGACAACATCACGATAGGTTATTAAATCACTGATAGAGACCAAACAATCATAAAATTCTTTCAGACGATCTAAGAAAGCAGACATAGAGAGATCACCCTTTTCACAATGATAAAATTCTTGACGAAGATGAACGATTTTAGACTCAACATGATCACAAAAAATCTTTTCAATCTTGTCCCAAGCAGATTGCACAGTAAGAGAAGTACCCGGAGTGATAATATTGCGCAAAATCTCACGAGAGAAAGTAGCCTGAATCCAAGAGAGCACGAGAGAATCAATCTGAACCCATTGATTATAGTCAGGATCACCAAGAGAAGGACAAGGATTGGTACCATCAACAAAGCAAAAAACTTGATGCCCTTTAAGAACGGAAATGAAAAGTTCTCGCCAATCAAGTAATTGGAAAAATCAAGAATCTCGTAAACGTGATTCTTGATGTTGTTGAGGGAGAAAGTTGGATGACGACTCACTGGAGAGGACGCACCATAAGGAGCATCAGTAGTAACGCGAGATGAAGTAGGAGTCTTCAGATCATGAGGGGCAGCAGCACCTTCGCCTTGAGCCATGAGAAGAGGACCGAGGCAACAACAGAAAGAAGCAGCAGCCGCCGAAGCAATAGCAGAAACAACGGCAGCAGCAGAGACAACAACAACGTTGGCAACAGCAACACCAGCAGTGATGTAGTGGCCGTGATGGTGACGAAGGAACAGCAGCCGACTGACGAACAACCAGAACGTCGGAGAGAAAGGCAGCAGCGTCGTTGTCTGAAGAGCAGCAGCGTCGTATGAGAAGCCTGATGAAGAGCAGTGTGAATAGCAGCAGCGGAATAGCAACAGCAGCAGCACTACAACAGAGAAAGGCAGCAGCAGCAGAGGAGAACAGCAGCGGCAGAGAAAGGCAGCGGCGGTGAAGAAGGACAGCAACAAAAGCAACGGCAGAATGCAAGAACGTCGGAGAAGAATAAGCAGCGTCGGAAGAAGAGCAAAGAGGTTGCCGGAGAACAGCAGCGAGGAGAACAGCAGCGTCTGAAGCAAAAGAGGAGAGCAGAGAGGTTGCCGGAAGAAGAGATGATAGAAGCCGTCAAAGCAAGAATTAACGGCGGCTGAAAACCCTAAAAAAAAATTACGTCCCAGGAAAGCGGTTGATACCATGACTTCATGTGTAAAACCGTAAGTCATTCTGTATTGATTTAATATATATATAGTGTATATGATTACAGTAGGATTACAATAATACCCCTACACTAACCCTAATATATACATACACTAACAGTTTTTTACCTGAAAATGCACGTAAGAAAGCTCTTACCCGGTGTCAATGGAATGGATTAAGCATACGTACACTAGCTAATAACGTTGCACTCTCTACAATGTCCTAGCATGGCAGAGCAATTTTTAGTATCCAGAGTTATATGCAACTCCGAAGCTATTCTTAATATGGTCAAAACTTATCTTTCATGATTTCTGTAATCTCCGTTAATCATAAAAAATTTTCTGGCGCTTTCTCTCTTTCTGTCGTCACTCCCTTCCTCTCCAGTATTACTACACTCTCTCCACTTGTTATCAATCAAAAGGGTTTTGGGTTTCCTTTAATTATTTTTTATCGGCCGCTCTCTCTTTAGATTTAGTTTTGACGCTCTAAGAAAAGAAAGAAGTTGAGTTATAGTGTATTTTGTGGGTGCCTTTAACATCACTCCGGCTAGGTCCTCCATTAAAAACGTGGAATTTCATTTAATTCCCTTTTATTATTGCTTCGTGAGAGATTAGAATCAGTTGTGAGAGAAAAGTTATATAATGGCTATTGAAATTGTCTTCCAGGCTAATTTTGAGAAAATTGATTTTGACACTCAAATACGCGAAGAATTCCACCATATTCTCTTTTCAAAAAAAAAAAAAAATCCCCGGTAGTATCGTTGACTTCTCAGACCTGCAATGGCTTGCGTGTTAAGTTTATGATGGTCCAAGGATGCAAGGACAGCCTCTTCTTCACAAATAGATGAACGTATGTCCATCATTGGATTAACCCTACCATTAATTCTGCATTGAAGAAAATGCCAACAGCAAAATAGATAACAAAGCATGGTCATGGATGGCTCTGTACAAGTTATTGCCAAGCTTGAAACTATTAGCATATCGTTTTACAAACAACCCAAGACCATATCCAATTTTAAACAGCCAGTTAAAATCTTGAGAACATAACAGCTACAATCTTTCGAAATATAGCAAAATTCAAATAATGACCAATCTTTATCCCGGGCATATTGAAAATGGATGTAACCTGTTCCCTACACACGGGAAGAATATGCACGCATAGTTGACAGGGACATCCAATGCCAAACCCGTTTTCGCTTAGGTACAATGGAAATAGCAAAGTTATAGATGGCTCTAAAAGCTATCCTTAGCTTGCCGGATGACCCGTAAGGCTTCTGCATCACCTGCCTCAGGTTGAATATTCAATGACTGACGGATTTCTGCGCTTGAAGTCCGAAGGAATGGATTACACTTCTTCTCTTTCCCAAGAGTTGTTGGAATCTGTACAAATATTTTGTAAGGTTAGACCAGGCTTTGCCAACAAGTCAAATTGCAGAAGTAGTTGGATGAAAAGGTAAAGCAAGCTACAGTAGATCCTATTAAAGGACCCTGTTGAAGCTTAAAACTATTTTTATGTACAATGAAATGAAAGAAAAGATTCAAGTCAAGATTTACTGTTGGCAAGCCTTTGTTCCTCAGATTGATGACTTCAGCCGCATAAGACTGCAATTCCTTATTACCAGGTTCAATTGATAAAGCAAACTTTGAATTACTCTGGCCAAAAGTGAAGCAAATATTTCGTGTCCAATCAAGACGTTTTTTTTAAGGCAAATATGAAGACAGAAATTGAACTCAGCAGTTTGATTTAAAGGAACAATTAACTCTGCACAAAGACATTTGACTTGCCAGTGTATACTCATGGCCGCAGTAAACATTCGTATCATCTGGGAGTGATGTTATCTTCCTCAAGGAAGAAAGCATCTGCAAGAACAAGAAAACATAAAATGACCAAAATCAGTTGTGCTGGATAATATCATCCGATCTGCAAGAATCCATACATGAATAACAAGGAAATGACTTATTATTTTGTCACGGTAAAAATTCAACCCTTCAATCTCTTAAATGTTGAAACACCTCAACAACATAGCAATATGCCAGTTGTCAAGGGCCATAACTCATTTAGTATTCGAATATGATGAGGGAAAGGTAGAGACAGTTGTTACTTTGCCAAAAATATAAGCATCTCATTATGAGCTATATAACTCATCAGCACAAAGCTCAATTATCAGGCTTCAATGACTAAAAAAATGCAGAAAAAATATTTAAGACACATAGAAATCCTCGTGTAGTTTTGTTCACCTAGGCATATTTCAGAGAAGAGAATTTAACCTACATGATTGATAGTTTCAATGTTCAACTAAAATTTCACTATGCATAAAAAGGGAAGAGATCATACAAATAATATATAGGGCGAGGCAACAACAATGTCCACTCTGAAGTAAAGGCCCAAACAATGGAAAATAAATATACCTGATCAGGTGTTCCTTCAAAAAGCTTGCCGCAGGATAAACTGAATAAAGTGTCCCCTGTGAATATGGACTTCGATCCAGGAAAGTAGAAACTAATATGACCTGCTTCATTTGAAAGAAGATACTCAAGACTCTCTACAATATCCTCTCACAAAACTTATGTCCTAGTCTAGGACTTCATTTGAATTACCAAAATTTCTTGTTGTTTTGAAAAAAGAGAAACTATGTATCAAACAGCCCGGGGCCCTCAATCGGCAGGGTCCTGGAAGGTCATCAGATCTATCAAATTAACTCCCATAACATCAGATGACAAACTAATAAACATTATACTCAAAGACCATTAGCCTCTAGGACCTTTGATTGCAAGTTGAAGACAATATATGGATAGGTCGTGTAAATCATAGCAATTAAAGGACTTAGCTATGACAAGTTGGAACCATTTGACGACTAATTCCACAGCAAAGAGGAACATCATGGCCTTCTGAATCCGGCAAGTGGCATCCCAGATGAACCCAAAAGAATGTCAGTGGAAACTTGAGACAACTTCTCATCTCTCTTTTATTCTTACCATCATTTTTCTTTAGTTGTCTCAAAAATGCCACGAATTGAAAGGTTCGGCCTAAGATGTGCACGTACAAGATGATTCAAGAAAAATTTCCATGGCTTTTCAAAGTTTGAATCGTAATGAAATTTTCCCAAGGAAACAAGGAAAAAAAACAAAACACTGAATAAGAGAGAAAAAAGAAAAAAAAAAACAAATAAACAAATAAACTCATGTACTCTCTAGCATGAACTGAAAAGTAAAAGATCCACAATATACTGCCTAAGGGAGAGAAAAATAAGACAGCAAACTCTCCAGACCAAGTCCCCTATGTTTCACTCCTCAACCTAATCTGACGAAATCAACTTCTGTTCATCAGGATAACTAGCCAAAATAAGACTTTCATCATGAGGGAGTACAGTCTACAGTTTAACTGTTGCTTTGCTACTTTATGTAACTATCATATAGGAGTACAAAACCTGGTGACATAGAATTTGCCATTTCACCGAAGCTTAACTAGTCAGAAGACAAACTGCTGCCATTTTTCCAATCTTATTGAATAGCATGGCCTGGGGCTAAGATAGCTCAAGGGTGGTTTATTGCACGGTTCAGAGAGCACTTGTGTATGTGATGCAAGTGAACGTGGACAAAAAAGCTGTCGTAAAGTTTCATTTTTCGTTTGTCCGTATCAATGAAATGATCATAAGGACACAGCCTGACAATGTGGAACTTGCCATTTCACTGTGCCTTATCTAGTCAGGAAACAAGAGGCTGAGAAAACTCGGCATGCTGAGAGCAATAGAACCCATGCAGATTTTCCAGAAGACTACCAAAAAAATCAATCTTGCACTCGCATCTATAAAATTGCGACACATCACTCGTATCTATAAAAATTGCGACACATAACATCATCATTAGCATCACGCAACACAGATCATACCCAGACGATTATTATGAAAGTAAATAAAAACCCAAGAGCAAAGTTAAACTATTATATCAAAACCACCTCGTGTGTGACCAGGAGTATCCATAATGAGCACCTCGTGGCCAGCGAACCTCCATTTGTCTCCATCACCCAAAGCAATATCAATTCCAGGAATTCTATCCTGGTCTACTCCCGATCCAATCACCTGTGGTAGCAGCACAGGACTAAGTATAGAACTACACTGACAAGTTGCTAAATCATCAAGCAAGGTTAGAAGTACTAAAACTCTCCAAAGCATATCAACTTTGCATATTGTAAGACAAATTGCAATCTCGTATCAAATAATTTCTGCTAAAAGTCAAACGATTTTTACGCTAATATTTTCAAACAAACACCCAAATCCATAAGATTTGAGTGTAACAAGATAGAAGAGATTAAATTTTTCATTGACTTCCACCATTTAGGAGAGAAATATGGGAATAGCATTACAAAAACTTAAGAGCAGTGAACCTCCCCCACGTTAAAAGACAAACTAATCATACGAGATATAAGAATTCTCAGTCCACTATATCGTAGAAGTAGATTTTTCAAATGTGAAAGGCCTGCTCATTCCATCTCCATTTCTCTTACTGGGTAATCTTCACAATCACTGCTTTTTCCTACAGAAATTCAAAATGATAATGCTTTTTCTTTTCACATTTTGCCTCAGTCTACCCTTACATTGATCACACAGCGATTTTTTTCCCTACATTGGGGACCCAGCAAGGAGAAGCCATATTTATTTCTTTGATGAGTGCTTTTCCCTTCTCAGCTCTACATTTTCCATGCATCAGATATCACCCAAAAGGTAATGTGTTTTGCCTACTTTGAAAGCAGAAACCTTTTAACCAGAAAGATTAAAGAAAGAATAAAAAAACTGTATCCATCCATTGTTCTGAAAGTGTTCTGCTTCTACGCCAAATTCAAATTGTCAAAATTTATTTAAAAAATATAACAAAAATGAACTCAAGGATTCCCTCAAAAGTTACAAACTGCAGCTTGCAAAACCTACAAATTTAAGGGGAAAAAATTGTAGCCATATAAAACAGAAGTTAAAGCACTCCTAGCGAAGGCATTTCCAACATGATCAAAGTAACATAAGAATATAATAGCAATCCTCTAGCATAGTTGGCGAACCATATAACATCTTTCAAAGGAACAGATGTGCATAGTTTCTAGCAATGACAAAGCATGCTGTTAAAGCTTAATAAAAACAATTTTTTAAATCCAAATTCATGCTAAAAGAGATCCACGTAATTGGAGTTGAGTTCAATTTAGCGGTGCCACATTCAGATCTATAAGCCAAATCAAGTCCTGATCAACTTCCGGAATTATGAAAAATGGTGTGATGCTCTTGATGATTTCTGCGCATTTCTGTCAACTAAACATTCAAAGACCTCAGCATACAGGTGCAGAATTATTCCAGACATCAAGATTGACTATATTTGGACTGAGTTGGACTCTCAGGCTTGGGTATCTCGTTCAACTTTACTGGAAATTTGACCAAGTTTTCAACCAAGCTACAAGAATAAGAGGACAAAATTTAATTCTAGATGAAGACAAAAGTTATAATCATACCTTTGCACCATACCTTGCTTTCAATTCCACATTGCCACCAGTATGATCATAATGATGATGAGTATTCAATATGTAATTCAAATTCCAATTTTTCCTCTCTAATGCATCTATTACAGGTATAGCTTCTGAAGGATCAACCACTCCAACAGTTCCAGTGTCAAGATCATACAATAGATATGCATAGTTGTCCCTAAGGCATGGTACCTGATTATTAAAATGAAAAAAACCAAAAGAGCTTAAACAACAAATATTTCAAAGCCAACCAAATTTTCTAAGGGTCATAACAATAAAAGAGAAACAAAAAAAAATTCTTAAGGATCTAAATAAGTCTTAGCAGCAGCATAACCTTACAAAGCTTCAGACAACATCACTATTCCAGAAACGTGATATTAGGGTTACATCATGCACTATATCTAAAACCTATAAATTGATACAGCAGAGTGGTCAATGATTGGGATCCCATAGAAGAATACAGGTTGAAATCTTCACTCTTTTTCCCCAAACAACAGAGTGTAATACTTAATGCTCGGTAATGGAGTTAAGAGCACAAAGGTTGTAATTTCTGTTAATAATGCTATCTCTTTATCCGTCAATGAATTTTAATTGGCTTACGCTTGTGTTGGTAGCTCAACTCATGAGTCTCTCCAATTGTAATGGTCTACTTCTATCCTCACCAATAAACTTCAGCTGATAGGACAACAGCTAATTAATTAACTGAAACAGCATTTGTGCCATTCCATCAGCTAAACCCCTGAGGTGCGGCTTGGCATGTAAGGCATACATTGCTGCCTATAACATACCGAGAAAAGCCCAAAACTTTTGCTTCCAGACAAAAATGATTAGCATCCTATTTTCATAAAATATGATATAGGCTTAATCAAAGTATACAATATTCATCTACCTACAAGAAAAACTATCAAGAACAAGTACAAAAGTTCATGACCATTAATTACTCAAAGTATCAGTAATTAAGTCCTTAAAATGAACTTCCTTGATGTGGAAACAAAAACGTTAACTATGAGAGAGAAAAAACAAATTTTACAACACAAATGATATGAGCTAAAGGGTTCTCACAATTTCAATTTGCAGGGTGGACGACATATTGGTAATGCTACAGAAACGGTTAACCCCAACAGCTCTACTAACTCCACGCAAAGTCTTGAATGGCATTGAAAAAAGTCTCACAAATCCATACAACAGAGTCTTCCTGATGCTCAACTGCCTCATCCCTGGCCATGCGCAAATTGTCCTCCTTCCCACCTATCACAGAAATTAGTGGAAAAAAAGTGGGAATAAAATATATAGGAGGAAATACGACAAGTTTCTTAAGACCCCATCACTTACAATTTCGGATATCTCCGTAAGTAAATGAATTTCAAAAAATGAACCAAAAACCTATAAATTCCACTGATAAAACTTCCACACAATTGAACAGTTCTACACACTTTTAACTCGTCCCAATTCACTGTGCCCAATTGGGTTTCCTTTGACTTGATGAGATTCTACACAAGTACAGGAATATTTTCACAAAAACAACATTAACAAACGGAAAAAAACACAAAATCCATATTGTTCCCTATGACACATAATCTTTGACCCTATAAAAATCCTTCCAAAATAGATGAAGGTAGGAAGCTAAACTGTAGAATTGTTATTTTTTATTTTTTTAGGGAAAAAAAAAAGTAAAAAAGAGAGATTGGGATCTACAAACCGTTGGACGAGGGAAAGAGGAGGCCATAGCAGTCGAAAGCAAATTCCTACAAGCGATCATTTGCATATTCACATCTTAATTATTAAAGATTTATGTTTCCATTTTCGAATACGGAAATGGAGCAGAAATATATTTGATACGAGTAAAAATTAAAGGGAAAAAAAGGAGGAGGTTGGGGGGATTTCCACACTACTACGGTATACTGTTTTGTTTCACTGGTGGAGTATTAAAGGGGAAGGCAAATTGTTATCTTGATGAATCTTGATCACTATAATTATGAATAAATCACCCGAATGGTCCTTTACATTTTGTGGAAAAATTTAATTTGGTCCATAATATTGACACTTGATTGGCTTAGTCCGTTGTATTTTCATTTCAACTAATTTGGTCCATTCACTGTGAAGTCCATAGTTTAGATTAAGGAACGATTGTGGTTGTTGAGGTTAGGTTCAAAATGGCATAACTTTGTGAATAGACGTCCATTTTGGGAGCTCAAGTAATCATTTTCATAGTTTTTTACGCAACCTACGCAATGGAATGCCTCGTTTGGCATTCCAACGGTGTTATAACTTTGTAAAACGAGATTTTATTTTCTCAAACTTTGAAAGATCATAACTTTGCACTCGAATGTCCTTTTTGGATGCATTTTTTTTTTATTCCATGTAACTTTTCGAGATCTACGCAATGGAAACTGCCAAAGGCGGTTTGCGATGCCTATTTTGCAAAGAAACAGCTTATTACTATGCGAATTCCGATTTTAACCATAAATATATGACTGAACAAAAATTTATTAAGTAGTACAGCAAACTTTTATTTTAAATTTTGGAAAGATTACACCACGAAAAGCTTCATTGTAACATACATTCTAGGTACAATTTTGTAAGTGTTCGTTTCCAATCACTAAAAGCAATATCATTTCTTGGTATATATAAAGTTCTTTCGCTACAATGAAAAACGTCTCATAATGGGTTTAGTGGGTTGTGAATTTTTGGCTAAATTGATTGGCAAGGGTTCGAAACTGAGTAAGAGCACTTCAAAATTAATTTTTTGAAGCGTAATTTATTGGGCAAGTGCATTTCAAAAATTATACTCTCTCGTTTCATAATTATTGTATTTTGAGACAGAGAAAGTACATTGAAATTTTGTAAAAACCAAAAACACCAATTAACTAAATAATTAATGAAACTATTTGATTAAGTGGAAAATGCCACAAACCGAACTGATTGATGATTAAAAGTAGTTCATCAAAAACTCTCACGTACTGAAGCCACATACAGTACTCGTACTTCCATGGACGGCCAATTACCGTTTTTTGCCAATAGAACCGCACAAGGCCACAAATAAAGCCAACTTTCCATAAAGTTATAGAGATTTATATTAATCCAAGCTAAAACACACACACAAAAAAAATAATAAATTTAATACTCCATCGGTCTTAAAATTATTGTCCATGAAACTTTATTCCTGGTTCAGATTATATTAAAACTAACAATGCAAACTAAAAAAATACTTTCGGGACGGAAATAATACACAACTTAATGGAAAAATATCAAATCCTTTTTTACGTACTTTAATTTATTTTTTTTTTAATGTTTGTGTTTTCGAAACAAAGATGAGGGATCCTTGTGCCGCTTTCACCGTGAGATTTTAGTATATTTTTGGTTATTGAAGCGTTTTTATTTAATTTTTATTAATATATATTTGTGTCTTCAAAACAAAAATGAGGGGGCCTTTTGCCGCTTTCATCGTGAGGTTTTAGTATATTGTTGGTTATTGAAGCATATTTGAGCGGGTAAAGGGTTTGGAAATCTAAAGTAGCGGTAGAGTAGTGACTTTTCGGTCGTGGGAGGTAAAGGACCGAGGCAATATATAGCACGGGCGTGGGTAACATAGCGGGTACGATCATACCAGCACTAATGCACCGGATCCCATCAGAACTCCGAAGTTAAGCGTGCTTGGGCGAGAGTAGTACTAGGATGGGTGACCCCACAGGAAGTCCTCGTGTTGTACCCCTCCCTCCTTTTTGTCATTTTCATCGTGGGTGTTTTACTTTAATTTATTTCTTTTTAATGTTTGTGTTTTGAAACAAAGATGAGGATCCTTGTCCGCTTTCACCGTGAGATTTTTTAGTATATTTTTGGTTATTGAGCGTTTTTATTTAATTTTTATTAATATATATTTGTGTCTTCAAAACAAAAATGAGGGCCTTTGCCGCTTTCATCGTGAGGTTTTAGTATATTGTTGGTTATTGAAGCATATTTGAGCGGGTAAAGGGTTTGGAAATCTAAAGTAGCGGTAGAGTAGTGACTTTTCGGTCGTGGGAGGTAAAGGACCGAGGCAATATATAGCACGGGCGTGGGTAACATAGCGGGTACGATCATACCAGCACTAATGCACGGATCCCATCGAACTCCGAAGTTAAGCGTGCTTGGGCGAGAGTAGTACTAGGATGGGTGACCCCACAGGAAGTCCTCGTGTTGTACCCTCCCTCCTTTTTGTCATTTTCATCGTGGGTGTTTTACTTTAATTTATTTCTTTTTAATGTTTGTGTTTTGAAACAAAGATGAGGATCCTTGTGCCGCTTTCACCGTGAGATTTTTAGTATATTTTTGGTTATTGAAGCGTTTTTATTTAATTTTTATTAATATATATTTGTGTCTTCAAAACAAAAATGAGGGGCCTTTTGCTTTCATCGTGAGGTTTTAGTATATTGTTGGTTATTGAAGCATATTTGAGCGGGTAAAGGGTTTGGAAATCTAAAGTAGCGGTAGAGTAGTGACTTTTCGGTCGTGGGAGGTAAAGGACCGAGGCAATATATAGCACGGGCGTGGGTAACATAGCGGGTACGATCATACCAGCACTAATGCACCGGATCCCATCGAACTCCGAAGTTAAGCGTGCTTGGGCGAGAGTAGTACTAGGATGGGTGACCCCAGGAAGTCCTCGTGTTGTACCCTCCCTCCTTTTTGTCATTTTCATCGTGGGTGTTTTACTTTAATTTATTTATTTTTAATGTTTGTGTTTTGAAACAAAGATGAGGGATCCTTGTGCCGCTTTCACCGTGAGATTTTTAGTATATTTTTGGTTATTGAAGCGTTTTTATTTAATTTTTATTAATATATATTTGTGTCTTCAAAACAAAAATGAGGGCCTTTTGCCGCTTTCATCGTGAGGTTTTAGTATATTGTTGGTTATTGAAGCATATTTGAGCGGGTAAAGGGTTTGGAAATCTAAAGTAGCGGTAGAGTAGTGACTTTTCGGTCGTGGGAGGTAAAGGACCGAGGCAATATATAGCACGGGCGTGGGTAACATAGCGGGTACGATCATACCAGCACTAATGCACGGATCCCATCGAACTCCGAAGTTAAGCGTGCTTGGCGAGAGTAGTACTAGGATGGGTGACCCCACAGGAAGTCCTCGTGTTGTACCCCTCCCTCCTTTTTGTCATTTTCATCGTGGGTGTTTTACTTTAATTTATTTCTTTTTAATGTTTGTGTTTTGAAACAAAGATGAGGATCCTTGTGCCGCTTTCACCGTGAGATTTTTAGTATATTTTTGGTTATTGAAGCGTTTTTATTTAATTTTTATTAATATATATTTGTGTCTTCAAAACAAAAATGAGGGCCTTTCTTGCTTTCATCGTGAGGTTTTAGTATATTGTTGGTTATTGAAGCATATTTGAGCGGGTAAAGGGTTTGGAAATCTAAAGTAGCGGTAGAGTAGTGACTTTTCGGTCGTGGGAGGTAAAGGACCGAGGCAATATATAGCACGGGCGTGGGTAACATAGCGGGTACGATCATACCAGCACTAATGCACCGGATCCCATCGAACTCCGAAGTTAAGCGTGCTTGGGCGAGTAGTACTAGGATGGGTGACCCCACAGGAAGTCCTCGTGTTGTACCCCTCCCTCCTTTTTGTCATTTTCATCGTGGGTGTTTTACTTTAATTTATTTCTTTTTAATGTTTGTGTTTTGAAACAAAGATGAGGGATCCTTGTGCCGCTTTCACCGTGAGATTTTTAGTATATTTTTGGTTATTGAAGCGTTTTTATTTAATTTTTATTAATATATATTTGTGTCTTCAAAACAAAAATGAGGGGCCTTTCAGCTTTCATCGTGAGGTTTTAGTATATTGTTGGTTATTGAAGCATATTTGAGCGGGTAAAGGGTTTGGAAATCTAAAGTAGCGGTAGAGTAGTGACTTTTCGGTCGTGGGAGGTAAAGGACCGAGGCAATATATAGCACGGGCGTGGGTAACATAGCGGGTACGATCATACCAGCACTAATGCACGGATCCCATCGAACTCAAGTTAAGCGTGCTTGGGCGAGAGTAGTACTAGGATGGGTGACCCCATGGGAAGTCCTCGTGTTGTACCCCTCCCTCCTTTTTTGTCATTTTCATCGTGGGTGTTTTACTTTAATTTATTTATTTTTTAATGTTTGTGTTTTCGAAACAAAGATGAGGGATCCTTGTGCCGCTTTCACCGTGAGATTTTTTTAGTATATTTTTGGTTATTGAAGCGTTTTTATTTAATTTTTATTAATATATATTTGTGTCTTCAAAACAAAAATGAGGGGCCTTTAAGCTTTCATCGTGAGGTTTTAGTATATTGTTGGTTATTGAAGCATATTTGAGCGGGTAAAGGGTTTGGAAATCTAAAGTAGCGGTAGAGTAGTGACTTTTCGGTCGTGGGAGGTAAAGGACCGAGGCAATATATAGCACGGGCGTGGGTAACATAGCGGGTACGATCATACCAGCACTAATGCACGGATCCCATCGAACTCCGAAGTTAAGCGTGCTTGGGCGAGAGTAGTACTAGGATGGGTGACCCCACAGGAAGTCCTCGTGTTGTACCCCTCCCTCCTTTTTGTCATTTTCATCGTGGGTGTTTTACTTTAATTTATTTCTTTTTAATGTTTGTGTTTTGAAACAAAGATGAGGATCCTTGTGCTGCTTTCACCGTGAGATTTTTAGTATATTTTTGGTTATTGAAGCGTTTTTATTTAATTTTTATTAATATATATTTGTGTCTTCAAAACAAAATGAGGGCCCTTTTGCCGCTTTCA